AGAACTAGGAACATTCATTCTTTCAGCCAAGGGGCTTGTAAAAACCCAGAGACAGAATCACGTTGGATGTCAGAAGGAGACTCTCTGGGAAAGATATAGGTGGTATGCTCAGGTGTAAATAATGAGTTTCTATTTTGGGGACTTGAAAACAAAATTCAATACATCTTCAGCATGATCTACTGTATTCCTTAGAAATTCCATGGGGAGAAGGACCAACATGATTCATTTAAAAAAAAAAATGCCCTTGAAGATGGGATATTTTGAGGACTTCAAATACTTGACAATATTCCCTGAGTCCTAGTCTCTCTTCCCTGGCAGGAGGGAGCACAGCAAAAGTACCCTCTCTCCCCAGGGACAGATCCTTGAGGGAACACAGCAGAGTGAGGGCTTTCTAAAATGCTCGAGGGCCATTCAACAACCACATTTCTTTCATCAGTGTAAGGGGTGGGGTTGGGGGTGGTGGGGGAAGCACATAGGGAACAAATGCTAGGGACTAGATTTAAAAACAGCTTTGAGAGAAAAAAGCCTAGACTGCAGGCTTGACTATAGCATAAACAGCAGAGCAGAGACAGGTCAAAGCTGACTGACTCAGAAGACTGCTAAGAAAAGGGTTCTCTGCATAAACACCTGAGGGGTGGTGGAGGTGCCTCAAAAGCCACATCCCAGGATGTGTGTGGAAGCTTCCAGTCATTTCCTCTGGCTTCACTTTGCTTTCTGGTGGGTGGGCAGAGGAAAACAGGTCTCTCGCCCAGGCCCAACTGGAGAAGCAAATTTTGTAGACCTGATGAGTTTTTTTTTTTTTTTCTGTTCCAAAGAATCCACAAGCACCAGGGAAGGGACAGGCTGCAGAAAGAGCCAGAGGAGAGAGGCCCGGGGCGGGCTAGTTTGTCCAAAAGAGGGCTGTAAACACCCTTTAGAGGTGATGATGCAAAAAGGAGCATGCACAGATGCCTTTAAAGCGATGAAAGACACGCCCCAACAGAGCACATTCGCGTTGACTGGACCATCAGCTCTACCTAAGGGCTGACTCCGTGAGAGACGGGGGGCTCAGCCAGAACAGGTTTTGGAAAAATTTTATTGCGTTTGGTTTCCATGTGGAAGCACTGACAGAATTGAAAAGAGGCAGCATGTTCCACTTACTTTTCTGAAAGATCACACAGCTAGACGAAATCTCTCCCCACCCTGGGCTGATTTCGTGAACCTCACCCCAAAACCCACCCCAAGCAGATTAAAAAGAAAAAAAAAAAGTTTGTGGTGATCATTTAAAAACAATTCCCCATGTGAGACGGTCGGCAGTCAGATTTCTGTGACTTCCACGTTTGATGCGCGTTTCCCGTCCCCTCACCTCCCCTCACGGTCTTCAGGCCTTCCCTCCTTCTAATTAGACTCAACACACAAGTGTGCAAATGGAAACGCTAGTCAGTCTCGACGCCGCAGGCTTAGGTGTCTGCTGGTTCCACTGGACGGCTGGGCGTCTCTCAACTTGGTGATGGTGTCTTTGCGTCACGGGCAGCCCACGCAGGTTCACGGCCTCCCAGGTTAAAATACAGACAAGACATGGAGACGTGTACATTTATGGGTCTAAAACATCCAGAAGTAAACCCACTGCGGAGATCTACAAAAATGAGGAAGGAGGGGGTCGACGGTGCGGCTGTGGCTGGTTTGCTTGGCAGTAACACTGCTGAACGCCACTCAAGGCGAGGGAGGGAGGTGGGACGCTCAGACAGGAAGCAGAGGGAATAGGGGAAACGGAGCTCGCCTGAAACTGCGTCATTTTCTTCTCTTCGTGATTGTGTAAGGCATTTTGAACTGGAAAAACTTCTTTCCTTCACATTCTTCCAAATGATCAGTCGGAATATAACCGGTGATTCGGAATACAAATAAGACCCCTTTCATCTCCACCCCCCCACCCCCAAAATCATCCTACGTACCCAGAGCCCACAAAGTACACAGCAGGCAACTGATTCTGTGAATTCAGAGGCAAGTCGTGTTCACACGGGGCACGGGGCTGCTGTGGTCAAGGACCCTTCTTGGGGCTCCAGCCCTGATCTCAGCCCTCGCAGGTCACAAGGGGTGAGCATCCATCTTCAGCGAGGTTTTAAGTCCCATTCAGGCACCTGCCACTGCCTCCTGGGCGGTGGGAGGTCACGGGCCCTCTTGACTTTCTCCTATGGATCCCCCACCAGGTGTCCGGGCCGGTCCGTCCACGCACAAGCGTCACGACTCAGTTAGTACAAGGGGGGGCGTGGCCTGGAGACAGTGCCCTCCACGTTAGTCATGCCAGACAGACAGCAGAGAGGAAACCAGAGGCCAGAGAAGTGATTTTAAATAGGAAAAAAAAAGGAAAGCAGCTTCGGTCACCAAAAAATAGAAAGGATGATTTTTTCAAAAATAAAAACCATGGGGACATTTTTTTTTTTCTCTGCAATGTTCAGCCATTTTATGTGAGACATCAAAAAAAAAAAAAGTGTCAGAGTAGTTGTGTTGCCTTTTCGGTTTAAGACATTCATGAGAACGGGTCAGACGGTAGTGCTGGGATAGGGTTTGTGTCTGAGTGGCAAACGCTGCTCAGGGTCCTTCAGACCACATACTGGTACGGGTCTGCCTTCCCTTGGTCTGGCGTGGCAAAGGGGCTGGCCCAGCCTAGAGAGAAGGGGTGGCCAAAAACGGCTTTCATGTTCATCCATTTTGGTTTTTTAGCCCATCTTCTCTCTTCCTTTTTCAATTGCTCTATTCCCTGAAAATAAGAACAATCATACTTTCAGTCAAGCACTTTACTGCTGTGGTTTTTTTGGGGGAGAGAAATCCATTAGCTTGAGGTGAATGGAGTAAATGCTTCCTTTTTAAAGCCATGAAGCTTATCTACATAGTACATTTTTTTTTTCTTCTCTTTCTCTCATAAAAAGTGCTAAAGACAAAAAGGAATCATCATTTTTCTTTTGGGTGGGCACACAGGCACGTCTGTGTAAGTCCCTCCAGGCAGGAAGGGACACGTAAGAAAGTCAGCGGGCCCCAAAGCCGCTGCTCCTAGTCACGCAATCCGGCGTTGTGTTAATGAGTCCTGGCCGGGGGGTCTGGGCCCAGCGCCGAGCTGTGTGTGGGAGCGCTCTGAAGGCTGGGGCATGTGGAGCCTCAGCTCGTGGGGAGCTTGAGCTCGTGAGAGCCAAGCATTGGTTCGTGGGAACTCTGAAGCTGCTATGACCACTTTGCAGACAAAAAAAAAAGGACCAAGTCAAACGACCGCTCTGGCGCTGTCTGTCCCGCCAGCCGGGGAGGCCGAGGAGCGCCCGGCGCAGGGGGGCTGGCCAGGTGCAGCGGAGGAGGTGAGCAGGAGGAAGAGGTCAGCACAGAGGAGGGAACAGAGGGATTAGTACAGGTTAGAGGGCCCGCCCCGGCAGACCGCTCCACCTCAGCCCCGGCCAAGGCCTTCCTGGCGTCCTTTGGGGACAAGGGTGACCTGAGGCAGCCTCAGCAGTTGTCACGGAGCCCATACCACCCCCAGCCAAGCCTCGCAGGAAAAACGAGCTAGGGGAGCAGGTCGGTCCCTTCCTTTCCCCTTCTCCGGAAGGGGCTGGTGAGCAGGTGGGGCTGGAGGACAAGGCAGAAGCGGCTTGGCAGGGGCCCAACCAGGGGTCTATCTGCCACGGTCTCTGTGAGGTGGAGGAACAGGGCTGGGGCCCGAGGGGACAGCCAAGTCCGACTGTGTTCACAGCCTAGGGCCCCGGGACCATACCATACTGGTCAAGGGCGGGACGCCCTTGCCCACACGAGGGAGGCCCTCGACTCCTCTCTCCCTTCCTTTCAGCGCGGCTCCCTTTAGGAACGGCTTTGACGGGCGGGGAAGAACAGCTAGACCAGGGCCATGAGAGTTTGCCTTCCGACCCCGCTGGGCCGCAGCCTGTGTAACAGCGGGTGGGGCCAGGCGGTCACCTCTGGGTTCCCTGCAGGCCTCACGCACAGAGGCCGGTCACATGCGCTGCACAGACACACAGCTGGATGGACCCCATCGGCTACTATTTTTACAGACACTCATTTATAATGGTACTAATGCTTATAAGAAAAAAAAAAAAAAAAGGTGCTGTTAGGCACGCAACCTCCTAAACCACCGGGCACTGCCCTAGATCCCAATGCTGGTGACCTGGCAGCCAGCACACCGTCCGCCTCCGCCCGCTGAGTCTCCACACCCTCGGGTGGGGCTGCACCAGCACTTAGGGCTGAGTCTTCCTATGAGCCTCCAGCTAAGGCTGCTTACCCACTCGGCCAACGTCCCCCCGAAGACCCCGAGGTGACTGTTGAGGACGGACTCACGACCTCCCCCCAGAGCTCAGAGCTGCCACTTCCGCCTGGGGCCCCTCACCCAGACCCCAAAGCCAAAGAGGGAGAAAATGCCCACACCACAGCCATGGACTGGCCACCAGGAGGCTTCTGGCCACCTTAGGAAGGCTTAGAGGTGGCGGCAGCCACACCAGGGGTGTGGGCTCCAGCAGTTTCGAAGCTCCCAGAGAAGGAGCTGTGAACAGGGCAGAAAGCGGGCAGGTGGAAGGCTGCGGACGAGGACCAGAACCAGCCTTGTGCCCACTGCTCTGTGCGTCCCCGCTGTGCTGTCTTCTGACCCCACTCTCAGGATCGGGTCGTAAAGACGCTTTCACTGGGAAGCTGACCCTGCCTGTGCCATGCGGGTCAGGGCACCCTTTGTCCATCACCCGTCTCCAGGCCCGTGGCCGCTAAACAGGAAGGGCACCCCAGTGCCTCGTAGAGTGACGCCGTGGACAAGACTGAACCATCACGGGAGGCTGGGAGGGCTCGTAACAGAGAGGCCGCTGGGCCCCATGCCTGTGTGACCAGAGTGCCAGTCCCAGGCAGGGAGGAAGAAGACCGCGGGCCACTGCAAGTGGAGGAATGGGGCCTGGCCACTGGGCTCCCAGGTCTGGCCTGCAGGCAGCCCCCGCCCCCCCACCCCAGCCGTGGAGGGAGTGGTGGCAGGCTGCCCCCGTACTCACCGTCTCATCCGTGCAGATGGAGTGCACCTGGGTCCCGAACATGACGGACGTGAAGATGAGAAAGAGCAGGCCCTCGAAGCAGAGCAGGATGAGGAGGATCACCGTGGTTGGCGGCGAGAAGGAGCTGCACTCTGAGAGAGAGGGGGCACGTGAGGCTCGGGGCTCCACTCTGCCTCCGGCCCCGCAGGACCGGGCTCCTCGCTGGCCACCAGGGGCCCCACCAGCCCCCGACACCATGAGCTTGCACTAATACGCCATCACAGCCCGTGTGTCGGGAGTCACCTGTTTCCTTCTGCCCTTGTCTGATGTCTGCCCTGCCCGCTCCACCCCCAGGCTCCAGGAGGGCAGGGACTTTCTGTTCGGCTTGATGTTAGCCATCAGCCTTGGAGCGATGCCTGATGACAAAAGAATCTGGGCGAGAGGTCGGGGCGTTCTGAGCTTTAGTTTTCCTTTCTGTATTGTGGGACGGTCAAGGATTCGCGAAGGGAATTCTGTCCCGGTCCGCCTAGGCCCAGCATGAGCAAGTGGGCGCTGCTCTCAGACAGGGGTGCCGTGCTTCCTGACCCCCTACAGCTGTCCTGGAGTGGTGGCCTGGCCACCATCCTGGCACAGCTGCGAGCACCCCTCTCATGGGCTGGCCGTGGAACTGCAAGTGGTGTTTAGGGAGGCGGGAAGCAGATTGAGGGAAGGTGGAACTGCCTCCTTACCCTTGTCTGAACATCAGCTCAGGATGCCCTCATCCTGGGGGATTCCTCTTAACATGAGCTGGATGCCCCACTGATCCAGGGCTGAGCAGAGATGGTATTAATGGCACAGACAGCCTGTACTCTGGGGTCTGTCCGGCACCTCCCCTGCCCTGAGACCAGAGCAGCTGGGGGCCTCAAGCTGCCTCCATCAGGAAATCCACTAAGGGAGGAAATCCACTCCATCTGGATTGACCACAGATAATCCAGAGCATGCAGGTAAGACCCTGGGTGGTGGAGTCTTCCAGACAGGGTAGGAAAAGCCTGCTCTGGACTAAGGCCTGAATCACAGGCCCTCTTCTGAGCCATATGACAGGGTAACTTGCGCCACCTCTGTGGGCACTGGCTTTTGCCATCTGCAAAGAGGGGAGTAGCTCTCCTGCCCTGCAGGCTTGTTACAAGGCCGAGGTAAGATCCTGCTCGACAGTCTCCTGTGCACTAAGTGGGAAGACTGAAACGGTCCCAGCCAACTCCAATGCCCCACCAGCGGCCCTCAGTACCCTCAGCACTGCATACGTCTCTTCTTAAAGGCATGAACTCTACTGCGAGGGCCCCACCCTCAGGACCTCTTACGAAGAAACACCAGAGAGCTTGCTTTTCTCTCTGCTGGGTGGGGACACAGGAGGAGAGGGCCATTTGCAAGCTGGGAAAAGGGTCCTCGCAAGAGATGGAACTGACTGGTACCTTGATCTTGGACTTTCCAGACTCTTGAACTGTGAGTAATAAATGCTTAAGCCTCCCAGTCTATGGCATCTTGTTGCAGCAGCCTGGGGTGACCCGTACCTATGGGGTTTTTCTTCCCCTAGGAGAGGTCAAGCCAGGTGGACCGGAGAGACAGAAGGGGGCAGATGCACGCTAGGAACAGAGGCTAGAAAAATCTCTTAATATCTGGTCAGGAGCTAAAGATACCTAAGAAGTCAGTACATGCAGGAAGAGGAAAACTCATAAAAAATGATGAAATGAAGAAAGGGACCAATCAATGGTAAAAGGGTGGAAATACGATGTTTCTGCTCGAGGTGTTTGTCTCACAGACTGTGTGTGAAAGAAGGAGCCTGGCAGGCAGCCTCTCCTCATTCCTCCAGCAACTACAGCAGTCTCTCCCTTATCTGTGGTTTTGCTTTCTGCAATTTCAGTTACCTGCAGTCAGCCATGGTGCAAAAATATTAACCGGAAAATTCCAGAAATAATAAGTCTTGAAGCACACACTCTCCTGAGAAGCATGATGAAATCTCACACCTGGCTCTCTCCACATGAGATGGGAACCATCCCTTTGTCCAGCATGTTCACGCTGCATATACTACCAATCATTTTGGTATTGACTGCCACGGTATCAGAGAGCCTATGTTCAAGTAACTCTTATGCTACTTAATAACAGCTCCAAGTGCAAGAGTGGTGATGCTGGCTATTCGGATACTCTCTTACTGTGCCTGATGCATAAATTAAACTTTATCATAGGTATGCTGTGCTGCGCTTAGTCGCTCAATCATGTCCGACTCTTCGTGACCCCATGGACCATACACCACCAGGCTTCTCTGTCACTGGGGATTCTCCAGGCAAGAATACTGGAGTCGGTTGCCATGCCCCCGCTCCAGGAGATCCTCCCACCCAGGGATCAAATCCAGGTCTCTGCATTACAGGCAGATTCTTTACCATCTGAGCCACCAGGGAAACCCAAGAATACTGGAGTGGGTAGCCTGTCCCTTCTCCAGGGGAACTTCCCAACCCAGGAATCGAATTGGGCTCTCTTGCATTGCAGGCAGATTCTTTACCAGCTGAGCTACCCAGAAAGCCCCTATCATAGGTATGTCTGTATAAAAGAAAAACATTGTATATGTAGTGTTCCATACTATCTGAGGTTTCAGGCATCCACAGAGCATATTGGAACATACCTCCTGCAGATAAGTGGGGACTACCATATTAAAAATTATTTTCTTATATCTCATTTTTATTCTTCTTAAAACATTTCAAATTTTAATTATATGTTCAGCATCTATATTTTTCCCCTCAGGATCTATGCAGTCTATGCAGATTGGAGTTCCTTCCTCAGCATCTGCATCTTTAAACGAGATACTTCAAAAGCAGGAAGAATTTGTCTACACTCTTAACAAACATGGGTGATTAAGCAGTTAAAAAAATCACCGCACACAAAAAGACCCAAATGAACAAAAACCACCCATGTCCTAGCCAGAAAGTTAAAAATGGATTTCTGCAAGGTTGGGATGCAATAATCTTCAACTAAAGCTCCTCACTTAAAGACACGGTTCTGCTCCCGGGATGTGCTTCCCTGCTGGGGCTTGCATTTTTTTCCTGGGCCCGCTCAGGCTGGAGGGTCTGTCCGACTCACGACTTTACCTGTGGAACTGACTTTAAGGGGCTGCTTTATTTCATGAAGAGATATTCGGGCCTCTGCTGTTTCTTCCCTGGTCAGTCCATAGGTTTGCAGGAGATCTAACAAAATGAGGTTGGCCCCTGGCACCAGGACGGAGACAAAGAGCCCACCCCCGCTCCGGTCACGCGCCCCTCCTGGAACAGGGAGGGAAGCCCTGGCACATACTCACTTGTCCAGTCTTCTTCAAAGCAGTGCAGGAAGTGGAATCCCACCATGATGAGGGCGTGCAAGGAAATGAGAGCTATGTACATCTGCAACAGGAAAGCAGGGCAGATGCCACCGTTGTGAGAACCTTCTGGCTCTGTAGGCGCCTGGGATGGGGTGCTTGCAGCCTCCCACTCAGGAACACTCAGGCTGAGGGCTGAGCAGGGAGGGGCCGAAGAGCCACCTAGTGATTCCCCCCGCCCCCACCACCGACCCCCGCCCCTAGGTCGGAGGTGCACGGCCATTCCCTGGGGGCACGTGGGACCTGAAGAGAAACCCAGCACGTGTGACCAGGCGGGACCTGGGCTGTCCTGGGGGCTCTGGGCCCGCTGCCCTTGAAGGGACAGGGCACTGACTGCCTGTGGTCCCTCCAGCCCTCGATGCTAAATGCCCTCCACCTACCTGCCGCTGAGGGAGGGTGGCCACCTTCTTGGCTACCGAGCTCAGACACCAGGCCTGGGAGCCCAAAACACGGCCCTTTGCTTAGAGCTAATTATCTGGAGGCAGTTTTCTAGACGCTCGAGCAAAGGGCATGGGAGTGGGCCGTGTGGAACCAAGGAGAGCTCTGGCAGAAAGGCAGAGGTCTACGTGGCCAGGCACCGTCCTGCCAGCAGCAAGGCAAACGGCGCGTGCTCCCCGCAGGGTGGGGATGGCGTTCGGAAGCTGACTTACTGTAAACAGGACGAAGTACTTCTGGTTGTTCTCGCCGACACAGTTATTGACCCAGGGACAGTGGTGGTCCATTTTCCGAATGCACCGCTTGCAGACGCTGAAAGAGCCGCGAGGCAGACCTTGAGGGGGGTCCCCACGGAGGCGGGAGGGCCAAGGGGACTCAGAACCCACGCTCCACCCCACTCCTCCCAAGTAGCGCTCGGGCACCACACAGTGTTTCGCTGTGTGTGTGCTGGAAGGGCCTGGAAGGCAGGGACGCGACCCCTGAGGTCACAGTCATTCCAGACAGGGGGACGCGCGGAGGCGCCGAGGCCTCTTCTCTTGTTTCACAGAGAAAAACGCTGGAACTGACTTGGCTGAGATGGACACTGCTCTCCTCAGGGAAGAGTGGGTTGAGACTTTGGTTTACTGAGAGGACAGAAAAAAGAAGCAGTTTCAAAAACCTGATGGGTTAGAGCTACTCCTAATTTCCCCCAAAGGCCAAAAAACCTAAGGGAGGGCCTGATGGAACTTGCCGGGGGTGTGGCTGACGAAATAGAGACAGAGAGAGAGAGAGAGAGAGAGAGAGAGAGAGAGAGAGAGAGAGACAGAGAGAGAGAGAGAGAGAGAGAGAGAAAGTGGGCACTTGAAGAGTTCAGAGTGGGGTCAAGCACGGTCTGTCACAGGGCTGCAGGAAGGCCCCCTCTCAGGATCTTTCAGCTCTAAGATAATATCCACTTAGCTGGAAACAGCAGGAGAGTCATCTGAGCTTAGGTATTGACCAGAAACCCCACTAATTTGCAAACAGTTATAAACTTGTTGCTGGGATAGTTTTTGGTCTGGGACTGTTTGAAGCTATGATATTTGATTTAAAAAAAAATGCCCTCCCCACTCCCCTTTGGAGGACACAAGTAAGAATCTGAAACAAGAGCACAAAGCTTAAATAGGGGCTCGAAAGCAGCTATTCCCAAAGCTCAAGTTCAGGAACAGCCATCTGCCAAAAGATGGACTCATTGAGAACCAACCATTTCTTCTTCAACTCATTAAAATAGGCTCCGTGACAATTTATCTTGGGGGCATTATGTGTTCAAAACAGTTTGAAATACTGTAAACACAAGCTTGTTATATATATATTTTGAAAGGCCCTTAGTTCACACCAGCTTTTATTTCCACTAGTTTCCACAACCAACTTTATCTCAGGTTCTTACTGAAAGTGAGGGGGGGACGGGGGTGCGGAGGGGCTGCAGGAGATCTGTTCCCAGACTACAGGTCAAGAAGCACAGACCACTCTGAAAGGGGGAGGCGTGGCCTTTCCTAAACCTGGCAGGAGCTCTGCTGGCGAGGGAGACCTCCCCCCGCCCGCCACCCCCCCTCCCCCGCTCCCCCTCCCCCCGCCCCCCAGGATGCATATGGAAAAGTGAGAAGAGATACTGGCTCAGACCAGCGGGGGCGTCATGCTGGTCCTCACCCTCGTTCTTCCCACAGCTTCAGAGGTTCGTGATAACACAGGCCTATGGGAAATGAGCACATTTCGGAGATGCTGGCCCAGCGCCAGAGTCTTCTTGGGAGCCAGAAAGGCAGGGTAAGAAAAGGATGCAGGTAAGGGCCATGGAGGGCAGTAAACAGAAAGCCAGGTGCCAGGAGCACCACCACCTGGTCAACCTCGCTCTGCCTCTGTGTTACCAATGTGGATGAATGAAAGAATGAGTAGGTTTTCCTTGTTCCCAGGGTGCAGTCATGCAAGTCCCGATGAGCAGGCAGCAAAGCTCCCTGCGTCCTGGGCCTCATCCAACACATTCCCACCGTGGAACCAGCCCTGGAGACCATCTCTTCCACGTCCTTCCTCAACTCTGGGGTTTCTTAAACCCCTCCCCATCACGGGAACTCCTGAGGGTGGCCACCTCCCTGCTCCAGGCTCTTGAGCAGCTTCTCTTCCACTCACACTATTTTGTAAAAGGGATTTAAGGCGGGTGCTCCAAGACAGTGTTTGCTCAGCAGCAGAGAGGTGCCAAAGCGCCTGCGTCCTCCGAGAGCTGTCAGAGGCTAAGCGATTCTGCCCTTTGCTCTCCCCTCCCAGCCTCCGTGGAGAGGCCACGTGTGAATCTGGGAAGATGGGTTTCACAATGAGTGAGGCTCTCTGGGCAGTCAAATCAGAACACGGCTCATCCTTCCGGGAGCAGGCAGGAACAGAGCCGCCGGAGAGCTGCAGGTGCCGTCTAGAGTGCTGGCCTCGGCAGAGACAGGGCAGGCCAAGATGCTGCCTCCCCCTCCGGCTTACAGACTTGTTCAGAGGCGGGGCTCCCGGGTCGAGGGGTGGTGCCCGTGGGCGGGAAGGTCCTTCCACACAGGAGGCTGGGAGGCTCTCTTTGGAGGCTGACAGACCCGCGGCTCATGAACGCCGGGCCTGAGCGGCTCTGGGACTGCGGTGGGAGAGCCCCAGGGGCAAGGCCTGGGGTAGGTCTGCAGGGGGCCAGGTGAAGGATGCTCCAGGCCCCGGGGGAGACTGCTCTCACCTGCCTGGCTACTTCAGCTCAGACACCAGCCATCAGGGGAGGAGGAAAAGACGTGGGCCTTCCACAGCCCCTGACACCCCGCGGGGGGCTTACACCCCAGAGCCAGCCTTCTGCCCAGTCCCCAGGGGCAGGAGGCTCCCTGGCATCCCTTCCCCCTGACACAGTGGCCACACGGGCTCCCAGAGGGTCCTCTCTCCACGCTCAGCTCCTGGTGAAACCCACCGCCCCTGGCTCCTCTCCTGCGCCAGCGTTAGTGCCTCCCGTGCGAGACGCTGCAGGCACAGGCACATCCTAAGCTCGCTATGGCAGTCGCTGAAAAGACCAAGGGTCCTCCCTGGAGGTTATTTTGGGTGCTCCTGACTTCAGGGTCCCCCGGGTCCCTTCTGGTTTCAGATGAGGGAGGGGGCTTCTCCCCTCCTCCTCCGGGTTCCCTACCAGTGTCCATCCCCAAAGCGCTTCCCTGGAAAGCCTGGAAGAGCCCGGCAAGCTCACTGGATCCCAGGCATTCAGGTTTCCTGGGGCTCGTGCCTCCTTCTCCAGGGAGGCACAAGGGCCCTTCCTCGGCCCTCAGGCTCCAAGAAGCGGACTGAGGGCTTCTGCCCGCCCTCCCTACAGCGGCACCCATCAAGCTGTATCTGTCCTGCCTGGGCGGTAAGCTACTGGGTTAGGGCCGTCTCCTCTCCACCACTACAGCCCAGAGCCAAGCTTGGGGTTAGCTTAGCAAGGGTCAGTGGAGTGAAGGCTCTGACACTACAGATGGGGAAACAGGTCCCACCACCTCAGGCGGGGACCCCACAGCACAGAAGGAAAAAGCACACAGCTGGTAGGTACCGAGGGGACCATGCTCTGCATATAAGCTTTCATCTCACACCTCATTCACTGTCATTAAAATTATAAGCAAAAAAGGCATCTCCAGCATCCTGGTCCCAGCTCAGAAACAACTTGGGGCAAGGCTGTGCCCAAATGGGCTTCCCTGGTGGCTCAGGTGTAAACAACCTGCCTGCCAAGGAGACCTGGGTTCGATCCCTGGGTCGGGAAGATCCCCTGGAGAAGGGCATGGCTAACCACTCCAGTATTCTTGCCTAGAGGATTTCCTGGACAGAGGAGCCTGGTGGGCTACAATCCACAGGATAGAAAAGAGACACAACTGGGTGAGTAAACAACAACAACAAGTGCTCAAACAGGGCATGAGAAAGACCAAACAAGCTGGCAGGGGCCTAAGCAGCCCACAGCAGTCTCAGCCTGTGTGTGTGTCCGTGTGCGTGTGTGTGTTGGGAGGTGGGGGGGAATATGAGGTTTCGCCGAGGTCAGACACCTCCATCTCCTTGTGCAAGAAGAACCTAACACATAAGCCTGATGCCCTGACCATCCACGTCAGCAATGACCTGCCCACCCCGAGGACTTCCACATGTTTCTGTGGTGCTCGAAGTCAGGAAGAAAGCAGCCTGGCTGGAAGGAAGACCCACTCACAGACTACCAGGCTGGGAGGAACACCTACAAGTGAATGTCAGGGAATATGCATGGTACCCATCAGAGCTGAGGGCAAAGAAGTTTTAAATTCCACAAACTCTTCTGGGAGGAGAGGAAGCAGAGAGCTGGGCACAAACAGTGGCCCCTTCACCTGAGCAGGAGGACTGATGCCCACTCTCTCCAGCAGGGCCACAGGCCCCTTGGCTCCACCAGCCACAAACCCAGCTCTGTCTCGTGTGCTGGGGACTCTGCTCATCCGAGACCGTGGGTCCTTGGATGGCCTGGGCCACCATGAGCCATCACCAAGGAGTGGCTGTCAGCACACATTTCCCGAGACAGGAACAGGCCACGCACAGGCATCGTCACTAGAGTTTCTCTGAGTTTGAGCTTATCTGAGTCAGCGGCTCTTGTTTGACTCAGGCCGATTTGTTTACTAGCACTCAAGAACACCTCCCTTGGATCATCCTGCAGAGGGAGGGGGTGAGGAGGCGGTGAGGAAATGCCCGGTGGTGGGGAGGAAAGAGAAGAAAGAGGACCACTGTGGTCACCTGAGTGCTTTCTACAAAGCTCGCCTTTCCCTGTTTCTGGTCCAGCCTGTGTAAACCCAGCACATCCCCAGTGCTCACACATTCCTCCACTAACAGACAGGTATTCATACTGAATCCTCTCGAGCTAGGAGGAACAACCCTTTTTATAAAGGAGAGAGCTGAGGCTCTGAGAGATGGTCCCCAGTGTGACCAGGACAGCACTGCCCTTCCAATGCTGACTGGAGCATCGCTCCACCACACCGGGACGCCCCAAGGAATCATGACAGCCGGGAGGGGAAGGCAGCTGGCCTCCTAAGCCTCAGGCGGGCAGAAGGCGGCTAGATGGTTGCCTCACTCTTAGAATTAGGTTCAAAGATCTCAGAAACAGATCTCAGATCTCAGATACAGATCTCAGAAACAAGCCGACCCAGCGACAGAAGACCCCACGGGAGATGGCAATTCCCATGGTCTCTGCCCATGCTCCTTGGCCCTTACCCTTGAGAAGTGGCAAGGAGCTGGGGAGGGCTCCAGCTCACTCTCCCAGACAAACAGAAAGACAGACAGCCTGAATTCCTCATCCAGGGAGAGCCAGTGCTATGGCGAAGCTA